TATTTCAACCTTTGGCTGACACAAGAAAGCGACATTCATGATACTCTTTCTTTCGCCTGGATTACGCCTCCTACTTATAGGCACTGCGTATTATTTATTATGACTAAAATGTTTTTATGATAAAAATTCCAGTACTGTCAGCATTTATGTATATAACAATCTTAAAGAAAAACATAAATCTGCCTACAGGCAACCTTAAATGGCCAAAATTGTATGGAGCAGGGAACAATGTATTTATTTCTCAACAAATACATCCAACTTTGAATAAATCTATCGTTGAGAAGAGGATGAGGTGAAGTTTAAAGTGCCATCTACTCTTTATACGAATTGACTCTTTGATAACGCATCAAATTTTAATGCTGTTTAAAGTTTTATCATATTTATTTGTAATTTAAATGAGTTTAATTTACAATAGTATAATAGAAAATTGGCGGATTTTGTAATCAGATTTCTATAATAGTTACACACCTCTATATGCACCATTTATTGTATTATTTCATATACTTAGTATACTAAGTTTTAGAAAGTTTTGTTCTATTATTACATAGTAGTTAATTTTAAATATTTTAATGTTAATTTTAGAATACCTCAGAAACTCTGAAAACTGAGAGTTTTCTATCGGGACTCAGTATATTTAACTGCATTTTATATCTTGAAAGCATCCGCATATTTTTGTTAATAAATGGTTTGATAAATTAAATATACGATACGTGTTTTGATTTATTTAGAGGATTATAAATTATTAGAACTCAAATAACAATAAAACATAAAATTTCTGCATTTACGATGAACAATCAACTCGATCTTCATTATCGCCGGGTCTCTTTCAAAGTTATTTGATTTTGAACTGGCTTCCTGCGGCATTGGACTTGGGCTACCATCGTCTCTACGTACAGCACATGCGTATACTCCATTATCTTCTGCTGTCGCTGGCATCAACGTCAGCACTGAGACCGTCTCTGAAACCTGGACAACTGCATGAGCAGGGGGAAGACTGTCACCTTGTCGGTACCAGGTAAATGTATACCAGGGGCTCAAAGGGCTCTGCGCAGCGGTGCAGGTCATATTTACCGGTTGGCCAGCCATAACTGGTGAAGGAGGACTTGAAGTTATAGAGAGAAGTACTGGACGGTCTACGGAATAAAAACAGATGAAAAATGAGTAAACGCATTGATTAGTTAGAAGAATATAAGGATTATTAGGTGCTTGGCGCCTTGTACTTTACATTTTTAATATTCACCAGTGTGATGGTGTGAATATTATTCTATCACTTTACACAAAAATGCTGTCTTCATAGATTAAAGGCTAAAACTAATATATCTATATACATTTATATATATTGGATCACTATGAGTCCATTCATATTTCCAGTCTTTATATAGGCCAAATCCCATAATCATAACTGTCGTGCTAATTTGACTTTAAGAAATGGCCCAAAATCTTTCAGAAGTATGCATGATCATGAACTTTTATTTCTCTATAAGCAAAGACGTATTTTCAAGTGGTGAAAGAAGTGTTAAAATTAGGAACCTAGAATTTGTTCAATTCACTGATTTACCCTAAATACTTATTTACAGATATGAAGAGAAACTGGGTTCCGATGAATTTCTTGAGATAATAGTGTTAGGGGGACATTCAGTTCGCATGAAAGCGAATGAAGAAGAGATTCGTTAGTCGATCTCACCAGATAAGGACAATTGAATCTCGTTGTACTGCAGCTGTTTGGCTTTGATACGATATTTATGTGAACTGTGTCAACCTGAACATAAAAGCCAAACGGCTGCAGTAAAACGAGATTCATCCGCCCCCATTTGGTGAGATCGACCAACAAATCTCCTCTTCATTCACATTCATACGAAATGAAGGTCCCCCAAACAATGTTACCTCTTTAATTACTTAAAGCTTTAATTGCTTCATTTAGTTATTATCATAACTATTCGTCTAATTTGATACTCATTTCTCAAATACGTGGTCATCTGTACTTTATTAACAAATTGTTTATATAATGCTCAGTTTTATTATAAATTTCATGACAAATGCCTTATAAATGCCATGATTTGGCATTATAATTATGGGTAATGAAAGTCTTTTTAATCTTTATCATGGGCTATATGTTACTTAGCAACTAATTCTTGTGCGTAGATTGGCAAATGACAATAATTTACTGTGGACATTTCAAGGAATCTATACAGATATTATTTCTAAGACTATTACACTAATTCCTCTTACGGGTTAAACTGATGCATTAAAATATAAATATATTATTTTAACTGCCAGTGTCCAATGTTAACTTTCAAGGCTATCTTATAGGGGATAAAAATCCTTCCTCCTTCAAAGTATTTAGTAAAACATAGCCTTACGCAAATTTTTACTAATTCTGAAAAAGCTAATTTCATACATAGTCAGGCTGCGAAACTTCATAGTGAAATTAATGAAGCAATAAAAGATGAAAATAGGCAAACATAAGAGCTCTGTTTTAGTGGATTCAATAAAAACTATAATAAAATTAATTAATCAATAAGAAATAAGATCGTACCTTAATTAAAATTCAAGAAAACATTATTTCGCAATTTTAGGAAAAACAAAATCTTTTATTACTAAGATTATTTCTGTAAACATTTTATAAAAGTAATGAGTCAGATATGATTTTATTTATAGTTAATACTTTACGGAAAACTTTAAGTATGAGTATGCAAGTTAAACACGGCATGTTAAGCATTTTTACTGCTAGTCTCAAAAACCTACTTATACACTAATAATAAGTAATGTAGTCGATTGTAATAGCAAGTAAAAATTTGCTTCCTCCTCAATCCCTCCGCAGAATGTAATATTGAAAGATGCATAGAAATGCGCATTTGCCCTTTTACCCAAGGCATTCGTGGCAATGTGGAGTAGTATTTTAAATGTCTAAAATATATGCTGTATTATCATAATTTTTGTCTAGCCGGAGTTTTGGATCAGACCCAGTCGAGGTCGAAATAGCAGTTGATTCTGGATGAGAATAGCTTTTGGAAAG